GCAACCATTTATCTCTTGAATTATTCGTTTAGGGGCCGAAGCCTTCTCTTTTGTCTGGTCCCAGGACCTGTCGTAGGTTTTTGTCATGTTCGCTCGGCTTCAGCAATGAGGAGTGGCCTTTACACGCTCGACGCATAGAAGGAAAAAATTATACTAAACCAAAAATGACAATTATATTTAAATCTTTCTCTTTTATAAAGTTCTCCAGTTATTTCTTACTCACTCCTTTGGAATTAATCATCAATTTTAAGACAGTCCCTTGCATTTATTTTGGCAGAATGAGTCTCTGAAGCGCCGTGACGCTGAGATTGCCAGAATGCGACAGGAAATGGAGCAAATACGCAAGCTGAGTGATGAAAATATCGAGGCTCTTCGTCGACGCCACCAAAATCAAATTTCGGAATTCACTGCTGAACGAGACGCCCTGATTCGTGCGAAACACAAGTAGGAAGAATGTGTAACTTTTTTCACAGTTAAAGTTTCCCAAGGTACTATAGAGTCTATGAATGCACTAATAAAGTTGAAAATAATTTCGAATAACGCCTCATCTTTTCGGTGAAATTAGTATCGGCTCACCGTTGCTCCAAATAGTCGATAATGAGTTTTCTGTTAAGAAGTTTCCAAAGGGTTATAATCGAAGGTGAGTCTTGAGCCGAATAAGCTGTTTGTTCATTATTCTATATATTAATAACTACTGGGCCTCACTTTTATTTATTGGAATACTTTAACAGTGACCAATCACCACAAGCGTTACACTTAAATGCTCCAAAGTCGGCAAAATGGCGCATCCAAGTGACATAACATTTAAAGTTATACTACTAATAGACTTAATTAGTAGTGCGATTAAGACATGGATGATTCTATTCAGGAAGAATAACTGGGCTTCGGTGAATCTCGTGAGATAGCATTTTTGTGGAGACTTTTATTTTACATGAAAGTACGTCCTGAAGAGATTCATAAGTCGATCTCACCAAAGGATTACGGCCGATTAATGTTATTCTGCAGCAGCTTAGCCTTAATACGACGTTCATGTTGACGTAATCCATCAGAAATACTCCATCGTTTCTTTCGTCATATTACGAAAACCATCAGATATGGTACTCATTCTTGCAAAAATTTCCATTCAATACAAATCAAGAAAGCTGACAGAAGAAGACTCTAACAACATATCTATATTTTTTCATTTTTTTCTATTATTATATATAGCATATAGAATATAACTAAAGAGTCTTATTGACTTAGTGTTAAGTTAGAGCTTTTGCAAAGACGATTTCCATCTCTGACGATCTCCTTCATATGACCAACGAAATGATGGACTTCATCGCTATGAACGTCGTCTTGAGGCCAACTGCTTCAGAACCACGGAAATCAGTTGTCGTCTTTGGATAAAATCGATCTATGAATCGCTTCATTGTGCACTATCAGACTAAATAAGAGTTTCCACCACAATGTTATTTCAAGAAATTTACCTAAATCCAGTTATTCAACGTATATAGAACAATCGTTGATATGGTTTAGTTTAGTCGATTAGTAGTATCTATCTATTATGCTATTCTATCCTATTAGACTAGTCCCAATCATGTAAGCAGTGCATTGTGTCATATAGAGATGGCATAGTCTGGTTTGAGAAAGTAATGAGGCCAGAACAACAAAGAACACATGACTCCCTATGGTGACTCTATAGGGCTAGTCACCTAAAACAACTGAGCTCAGTCCGAGACTTATGAATGAAAGCAATCGATGTGATTACAGATCTACAGCAAGTGAAGAGAGTTGAATAGAGCACACGAGTTGGCTCATTTCGAGGAGCAGATTAAGACGACCTTCTCGGAGGTCCTCTGAGCGAGAACCACCAACAAGGTTCAGTTGGTCTCTTCCGACAGGAGGTAGAACCTTTTTGCCATACGAGAGGACGGCAAATGCAAATCTTTCGCTTCATCAGCCCCGCATGGATTTCCAGGGCAGATGTCAGACATACAGAATAGTCGAGAGACTGTACTCAAATGCCATACCGGTTTGATAAGTAGTGCATACAGCCAGTATAGTGGTTATCTCGTATAAGGAAGATAATATATTGAGGTATCATACAGGAAAGATGTATGAAAGTCAAAGTACCAGACATTGTGAATATGCCAGAGGTTGAGTAAAAAGCTAAGGGTTGTGTGTCAAATAACAGAGTTATGCTAGAGTACCAAAATATTGTGATACTTATGAATTAGACAGTCAGGCAGGTTTACCTTGCATACTTTAGCGCCAGTTTGGCCATTTATGAACAGTGCATTATATGTTCAAGTAGCGACAAAACAAAGGGTCTCCCCTTTTTAGAGCTGCCTCTCTCTCTCTCTTCCTTTTTGCTGACTGCATGGACTTTCTTTTTACTTGTACACTTATGTCAAGCCTAATCAACTTTCAGGCTGGAGCCAATTGAGGGCTGAGTCGCTATGAGTGGCCTCAAAATACACTTGACGTTTTTCCCTTTTTATCTCAGGGCTGAAAAGGATCGCTCCGAGATGGCAAGTCAGCTGGAAAAGTCCTTCTCAGAGGTGGAGCAGTCGGAAAAAGCTCGGGTATGCTGGACAAGATACTGCTAACTAATGCTTAATTTATCCAACCTATCAATGCATATAACAATTAACCTGAGCACTAAAAGTTTGCCAAGTTCACGTATTTCTTTTTACTTTTTACATCAAATTTGATCATACACTCTGGCCTCTTCTAGGAATTGAGGACAACACTTTTATATGTCTTTAGATCTGAGAGTTGTGGATTATTATGTATTTCATTGTTGTAATGCGTTAAGTAGATTAGCATTAGTGTCGCCGCCA